AAAAGTGTTGGGGACGGCGCTGTGGCACAGTAGGTTAAGCCTCTGCCTATAGTACTGGCATCCCACATGGGCACCAGTTCGTGTCCTGGCTGCTCCATTTCTAATCCAGCTCCCTGCTTATGGCCTGGGAAAGCAATAAAAGATGGCCCAAGTGTTTTGGCCCCTGTACCCACGTGGGAGACCCAGAAGAAGCTCCTGGCTCCTGGCTTCGGATTGGCCCAGCTCCAGCCATTGTGGCCATTTGGGGGAGTGAACCAGTGGATGGAAGACCTCTCCCTCTGTATCTCCCTCTGTCTGTAATTCTGCCTCTCAAATAAATAAATCTTAAAAAAAAGTTGTGTTTTAGCTTAAATTATTATTTTTTTCCTTCAACATTTTAGTTTCACACTCTAAATGTTCTCTACACTGTACAGTTTACAAACATTCACTATGAATCTGACAGGCAAGTCTTTATATAACTTTATCCAAACTAAGGTACACACTATTTAACAAAATAATAAACCAAGAATAGCCCTCTAGACTGTCACTAAAAAGTCACTCACTGTCACTGATCTATTAATCAGCACTACAATACCTGCACACAATTGTTTTAATTAGCTCCAAAGCCAGATCAAAAGTTTCTTGGAATCACATTAAAAAATTAAATATCTATTTTTAGCATACTACTTTGTAGTATATTCCTGATTCTCCAGCCCAAAAATATTTCTAAAAATGAAATGCCCTGGGTGAGTGTTCAACCTACTGGTTAAGATACCCAGGGACCATATCAGAGTACCTGACATCAATGGCTGGCTCTGGCTCCTGACTCCAGTTTCCTGTTAATGTAGGTCTCAGGAGGCAGTGGTGATGGCTCAAATAATTGGATTCTTGCCACCCATACGGTTGAGACCAGGATTGAGTTCCTGGTTCCTGACCTTGGCCCTAGTCCAGTCCTGGCCATTCAGGGAGTGAACCACCAGATGGGAGCTTACTAACTCTGTCTGACTCATGGTTATACATATGACAGTGCTGCATGACAGTTACCTCTGGGGGTTTTCCCTTTGGTTTTGCTTATCTCTATTTCCTAGTATTTCCATAATGAACTTACACTGATCGTATAATTTAAATAAAATCATGGCAAAACAAAGAAAAAAGAATTGTAATCAGCATGACTCTGAACGCAAGCTGGCTTCTTGGCACAGGGTGGGGGTAGGGAGTAGGGGTATCACTGTGTTTTTACTTTTTGATCAATTTTAGAATTTTACTAGGGATCACTGTGAAGCTTCCAGTGATACCCGCAAACCCATGTGACCCACAGATTAACTCCAGATAAATCAAGCACTTCTATAAGAATTAGATTAGAATTTGACTCAATCTTCAAAATACGTCTAGAATCCATTACTTTCTAGCTATCCACCATTATCACCGAGTCCAAGCCATCGTCATGCCTCACCGGAACTACTGTTTACTGCAAAAGCGTCCTTAGGTTTGCCTGAATCTAGCATTGCCCATGCTTCCTACACTCCACAGCCTATCCTCCCACAGCAACCTGAGTAAGCCTTTTTTTTTGACTGCCCCAAATGGTTTATTAAGTATGAATTTCACAAACATTACTTGATTTAGTGGTGTAGCCTTCTCCAGGCTACACTAGAAGAACCACCAACAGTGTGATGGAACTTGTGGCCCTTTCCAAGGCCATGACTCCTGTGGCCTGTAGATGTCAGTCCACGCATTTCCCTGCGCTTGTGGACTGGTTTGTCGGGAGGTAGGCGCTTGGTGTGGCAGTTAAGATGCTGCTTGGGGAGCTGGTGCCATGGTGTAGCGTGTAAAACCACCACCTGCAGTGCCAGCATCCCATATGGGCACCAGTTCAAGCCCTGGCTGCTTCTACTTCCGATCCAGGTCTCTGCTGTGGCCTGGGAAAGCAGTAGAAGATGGCCCAAGTGCTTGGGCCCCTGCACCGAGGGAGACCCGGAAGAAGCTCCTGGGTCCTGGCTCCAGATCAGCACAATGCCACCTGTTGCAATCATCTGAGGAGTGAACCAATGGATGGAAGACCTCTCTCTCTCTCTCTCTCTCTCTCTCTCTCCGTCACTATGCCTTTCAAATAAATAAATAAATCATTTAAGAAAAAAGATGGTGCTTGGGACAAACTGCATCCCACATTGGAGCACCTGGATTCAAGTCCTAGCTCCACGTATCAAATCCAGCTTCCTGCTAACCCATAACCTGGGAAGTAGCAGGTGATGGCTCAAGTAGCTGGGTCCCTGCCATTCATGTGGGAGGCCTAGATTAGGTTCCAGATTCCTGGTGTTGATCCCAACTACAGGCTGTTGCAGGCCTTTGGGGAGTAAACCAGCAGATGGGAAATACCTCTCACTCCCTCTGTCTCTTTCTGCTTGCCTTTCAAATAAAATAAATACACTTTTTAAAATTTAAAAGCATACAAAAATGTAAGTCAGGTCACGTCCCTCCTCAGCTCAGAGTAAAATGTTCTAGAAAGGTGCTACCTTGGCTGTAAGGCCCTAAATGATCTGAGTACTGATCACACATCCCCTTCCATTCTTTCCCTACGATTCCACTACTCCACTCCAGCCGCACTAGCCTCCCTGTGGGGCCTTGGTCATGGATTCCAACTTTCAGATCTAAGCTAAAAATATCACTGCATCAGAGGTCTACTCTAATCACCTTATATGAAATAGCATTCTCTCAGCTCTCCCTCACATCGTCACCTCATCTTGACTTTTTTTTGAGAGGGAGATAGACAGACAGACATACACTTCCGTATACTAAGTCACTCCCCCAAACACTTGCAACAGTCAGGACTAGATCAGCCTGAAGCCAGCTCAATCCAGGTTTCCATGTAGGTGGGCAGGGACCTAATTACTTGAGCCATTATCACTGTCTCCCAAGGTCTACAATGCCAGGAAGCTAGAGTCAGGAGCCAGAGCAGGGTACTGAACCCAGGTATTCCGATATGGGACACGGGCATCTTAACCAGTGTCTTAACCAATAGGTTAAATGCCTCTCCACCTAGCTCTTTTAAATTCTTAGTATGTATCCCCTGGCAGAAGTTACTTAACTACTTAATTGTTTATATCTAGTTATTCATTTATTTTTACGTTTCTAACCATTAAGCTAGGACTTCTTCTATTTTCTTAATGTCATACACTGAGTTCCAACGATTGTGCAAAGCAAGAAGTGGCCAGTGTTCATCATCAGAACATCAATCCCATCACATAGCAAAATATTCTATGTATATAGTAGGAAGTAAAAGTTTCTGTTAATGAAAAGGATTATTTTCTCCCAAATTTCACTAGTATTTTAAAAATCAGGGGCAGGAATTCAGCCTCGAATTTATATAAAAGCACCCACATTCCACATGGAGGTGCTTGTGTTTGATTTCCAGTTCCAGCTCCTACATCCAGCTTTCTGCTAATGCAGATGCTAGGAGACAGCAGTGATGGCTCAGTTGGGTCCCTGCCACCCACACGGGAGACCCAGAATTCCTAGCTCCCAGCTTCGCCTGTACCCAGCCCCAACCACGGCAGGCAACTGGGGAGTAAACCAGCAGAGGGGAGCACACGCTCTTTCTCTCAAGCAAAACACAACACATTGGTCCTCACATAAAGCCACCAACTACTGGCTATTACTCAACCAGAAATTAATTTCTTAACCCAGTTCCATGAGGTAGGAAAAAAGCTGCAAAGAAAGGAACAGAGCAACACATATGAACCAATTAAAAAGCCAAACGTTTGCCTTGCAGTGTCTCACTCCTAGAGTTCTGTGTTAACCCTAATTATGCCTATTTCCTAACAGTGGCTGACATGTCAGTGGCTGGCCTTGTTAGCATTCCTTTCCCATATCCAGTCACTCCAATGACCAAAACCTATTTACCAAACTCATTCTAGACTGCCCTGTTGCTCTACTTTCCAAGAGAACTTTTCTCTATTATCTAGCTATCAGTAATGATCAAAACCATGAGGTCCTGGGGCTGGCGCTGTGGAGTAGCAGGTAAAGCCACTGTCTGCAGTGCCAGTATCCCATATGGGTGCCGGTTCAAGTCCTGGCTGCTCCACTTCCTATCCAGCTCCCTGCTATGGCCTGGGAAAGCAGTATAAGATGGTGCAAGTCCTTGGGCCCCTGAACCCACACGGGAAACCCAGAAGAAGCTCCTGGCCCCTGGCTTCAGATTGGCTCAGCTCTGGCCGTTGCAGACGACTGGGGAGTGAACCATCAGATGGAAGACTCTCTCTCTATGTGCAACTCTTTCAAATGAATAATCTTTAAAAAAAAAAAAAAAAAACACACACACACACACACACACACACAAAACAACACCCATTAGGTCTTTAGGCCACTCACTGCTCAAGTTCTCACTTCTCTCTCAACAGTGCTCTCCACTGTCCTCACCAAGACCAAACAATAAAATATTGGCACACAAAATCCAGAAAAGTGCTAAGAAAAAGAGACAGTTGATGATCAAAAGATTCTTATTTTACTCTGCTTTTTAAAAGGCAAAGTGACAGAGAGAGAGAAAAAGAGAGATCTTCCATTGGTTGGTTCACTGTCCAAATGGCCGTGACAGCCTGAGCTGAGCCACGCCAAAGCCAGGAAGCAAGAATCCATCCACGACTCCCACGTGGATGGCAGGGGCCCAAGGACTACAGCCATCTTCTGTGGCTTTCGGAGGCACATTAGCAGGGGGCTAGACAGGAAGCAGAGCAGCTGAGACTTGAACTGGTGCTCTGATATGGAATTTGGCCTCACAAGCAGTGGCTTAATCTGCTGTACCACAGAGCATCCAGTCTGGAACCATAAGGTCTACTTATTATGGCTGACTTCACAGAAGAATTTTTACCCTTAATATAGAGGAGTATTTAGCACAGTATTTGATTCATAAAGGACCACCAGCATATACTGACTTTCCTCTCTCCTTTGCCATAGCAGAACAATTACAGAGGTCTCAAAATCCACCCAGTTCTGAGGAAGGCCCAGGCTTCCCTGTTCAGCATACTTACCATTTAGGTAACTTCACTTTCTGTCACTACTTCTGGCTGCTCCCTGATGCTTGCAGTCCTGGAAACAGCAGCTCAGTATCATCGGATGGCAGCTGCCTCTTGACCTGGATGGAAAACAAACAGAAAGGAAGACACAGGTAAAACATGAGTCACACCAAGATTGAGCTGGCTCAAAAGACTGTCCCAAAGATCTTCACATACAGTGTGTGTCAAAAAAGGGACAAGGTGAGACCTGAGTCAAGATGCAGACCTGAGGGAAGCTGGCTACGTCTGACTCAGGAGAGGAGGAGTTTGACTCCAAAGACTTCCCCTCTTCAAATCATAATCATTTCCTATCAGATGATACGGTCCCTAGGTACAGTATATTGTATTTCCTGGAATTAACAGATTGATGCACTCTCCCACAGCCTAAAAACTTAAAAAAGGCATCTTACAAGCTGGGAAGCATCCCAGAAATCAACCAGTTAAATACTTTTAAGGAAGGAAACTAAAGCTTGGGATGGGTGAGTCACAGTTACTTATGGGCAAAACTAAGATTCTGCTAAAAATAAAATGTCTGGAAGATGGGTAAGGGAGAAAAAACAAAACGCAAACATCTGTGGAGTACCTACCACACCCTGGGCACTAAGTTTTATGTTTTAATAAAGACAGTAACACTATTTTATCACCCCCACCTCATAGATAAAAAAATCTAAATTTTAAAAAGTCAAGCAACTTGACCAAGAGCACACAGCTAGTAAAATAGTCAGGATGGAAACTCAAGTCTATCTGACCACAAAAGCCCTTCACCATGCTTACTCTCATTCTGTTTCCTTCCAGAATGGGTCCTCAGAAGGACCCTAAATCATTCAACATCAGTGAGAACTAAAAAGAAAGCTTCTCTGTCTACAAACCCGCTCTCTAGTTTTGTAACGAGCAGTCTTCTGATGCACAGCTGAGAAGCCTTCCAACCCACTGAATCCCTAAATGGTGAGTTCTTGAAAGGGTAGGCATTTGGCCCAGTGACTAAGATACCAATTAAGACACTCGTGCCCCACATCAGAGTACCTGGGGTCCAATTTCTGGCTCTGGCTCCTGACTCCAGCCTCCTGCTAATGCAGACCCTTGGGCGACAGCAGTGATGGCTCAAGTAATTTTTTTTTTTAAGATTTATTTTATTTACTTGAAAGAGTTACAGAGACAGGTAGAGCCAGAGAGAGAGAGGTCTTCCATCCGATGGTTCACTCCCCAGATGACTGCAACAGCCAGAGCTGAGCTGATCCGAAGCAGGAGCCAGGAGCTTTCTCTGGGTCTCCCATACTGGTGCAGGGGCCCAAGGACTTGGGCCATCTTCTACTGCTTTCCCAGGCCATGACAGAGAGCTGGATCAGAAGTAAAGCAGCTGGGACTCAAACCTGTGCCTGTATGGGATGCCAGAGCTGCAGGCTGGCCCCAGCAATTGGGTTCTTGCCATCCACATGGGAGACCTAGCTTGAGTTCAGATCCTGAATTCAGCTGGCCTAACCCCAAGTGTTGCAAGCATCTGAGGAGTGAACCAGCAGATGGAAGTTTTCATTCTCTCTGTATGTCTCTCTCTCCTCTTCCCCTCCCTCTCAAATAAATACATAGTTGGAGCAGGTGCTGTGGCATAGCGGGTAAAGCTGCCACCTAGTGCCGGTATCCCATATGGGCATTGGTTCAAGTCCCAGCTGTTCTACTTTCAATCTCACACTCTGCTGTGGCCTGGGAAAGCAGTAAAAGATGGCCCAAGTCCTTGGGTCCCTGCACCAACATGGGAGTCCTGGAAGAAGCTCCTGGCTCCTGGCTTTGGACCAGCCCAGCTCCAGCCATTGCGGCCATTTGCAGAGTGGACCAGTAGATGAAAGACCAACTGACCTCTCTTTCTGCCTCTACCTCTCTGTAACTCAGCCTGTCAAATAAAATAAGTAATAAATAAATCAAAAGAATTGGCCGGTGCCGCGGCTCACTAGGCTAATCCTCCGCCACCCCGGGTTCCAGTCCTGGTTAGGGCGCTGGATTCTGTCCCAGTTGCTCCTCTCCAGTCTAGCTCTCTGCTGTGGCCCAGGAGGGCAGTGAAGGATGGCCCAAGTGCTTGGGCATCTGCATCCCATAGGAGACCAGGAAAAAGCACCTGGCTTCTGGCTTCGGATAGGAGCTGCGCACCGGCCGTAGCGGCCATTTGGGGGGTGAACCACTGGAAGGAAGACCTTTCTCTCTGTCTCTCTAACTCTGCCTGTCTAAATAAATAAATAAATAAATAAAAAGAATTAAAAATAAATAGTTACTAGAGGCGGGAGATGTGGGTCTAATCTGTCTACCCTGGTCTTGAGGAAGAATGGAAAGGTAACTTCTAGGCTAGTGGTACATCTAAAGCTCTTAAACACAGTCTTACATTCAAACTATTCCCCTCATTTCGTCACCACAGCTTATCCCTCCATACACATCCTCGCAAGCCACTCTTTAACCTCCTTACAAGACTGCTGGTCCCCTTCGTTCCATTCCACACCTCTACCAACCCACCCAAAACACTCAGACACATCAGAGAATCCAGCCCTGCCTCTGTCTTACTGGAGAACTTTTAAAATAGATAGAAAATAATAAAATCATAGTTTTAAAAAATAGCTTTATTTGAAAGGCAGAATAAGAAACAGAGAAAGGAAATACCGGAGGGAAAACGAGAGAAGGGAAGGAAGAAGGAAGGTGAGCAGGAGGAAAGAAAAGGAAAAGGCTATGTAAATGCAGAGTCTGTCCGCTGCGGTCTCTGCAGCCCTGAAGTGACAGCGGTGCCCCTGCGGAAAGCTACTGCCCCAGAACCCACCACCACTGCCAAATTTGCTGACACGTTACTAAGGCCCAGGGGGCTTTTCTCTTCAAAACAGGATGGAATGCACTGCCAAAAGTCAAACAAACAGGAACTCCAGATGAATCGGATTTGTTTTCAACTGTCTACATTCTCTCCTTGTTTCCAAAGGGTCGAAGCAAACAGCACAGATTTCTTTCCTCTGTTTCTGAATGCTATTCACTTCTGGCATCCTCAGCTTAGCGGCCCTCTGTCCCTAGAAACAACAGGATGTGTGTGAACATCCTCAAACCTGCAGCGCTGCCCTTCTAGAGAGAGCTGCACTGACACCCAGCCACATCACCTCCTCCAGGCCCCTGTCTCTGTTGCTGTGGGTGGTGGTGACAGGAGTGTGCGGACATGTGGCTGTCTAGAAGCAGAGATGAAAGAAAGGACCCTTGATGGCTCATGAGAGCCTAGAGTAAGTGAGTCCTAGGGAGAAGAGAGGTACCCAAGCCTACAAGTTAAACTCAAGAGAAAATGACTGAGTCCTTTTACTCCAAAACATTTAGATAATTGATAAAAATGCTATTAGGGAATTCTGCTTCTAAACCCTCCCACAGACAACAATCATAAACTGCAGATAGGGGCCGCCACTGTGGTGCAGCGGGTCAATGCCCTAGCCTGAAGTGCCGGCATCCCATATGGGCGCCAGTTCTAGTCCCGGCTGCTCACTTCCAATCCAGCTCTCTGTTATGGCCTGGGAAAGCAGTAGAGGATGGCCCAAGTCCTTGGGCCCCTGCACCCGCGTGGGAGACCCAGTAGAAGCTCCTGGCTCCTGGCTTCAGATCGGCTCAGCTCTGGCCATTGCAGCATTCTGGGGAGTGAACCATCGGATGGAAGACCTCTCTCTCTCCCTCTCTGCCTCTCCTCTTTCTGTGTTAACTCTGACTTTCGGATAAATAAATAAATCTTTTAAAAAAAAGAAAAAAGAAAAAACTCCAGATAAAATGAAAAAAAAAAAAAAAAAAAACCTCCTATCTGAAGTGAAGAAAGGCTGGCTGATTTCAGAGAATAGTTGAAAACTGGAAGAAGGGACTGGAATGGGGTAAATTCCCCTTTGTGGAGCTACAGCCTGAAGGTTGCCCAGCTGAAGTTCCAATTTAAAAACCCTAGAGGAGTTGGCAGGCTCCAAACACAAAAAGATAAGGAAATGGAAATACTAACTGCCTGATTTGATCAGTTTGCCTAATAAAAATGTGTAAGTATAGTAGATAATCAAAAATTTAGAACAAATGGGGCCAGCGCTGTGGCGCAGCAGGTTAAAGACCCGGCCTGCAGTACCTGCATCCCATATGGGCGCCCGTTTGAGTCCCAGCTGCTCCTCTTCCGATCCAGCTCTCTGCTGTGGCCTGGGAAAGCAGCAGAAGACGGCCCAAGTCCTTGGGCCCCTGCACCTATGTGGGAGACCTGGAAGAAGCTCCTGGCTTCGGATCAGCTCAGCTTTGGTGGTTGCAGTCATTTGGGGAGTGAACCAGTGGATGGAAGACCTCTCTCTCTCTGGCTCTACCTGTCTCTGTAACTCTTTCAAGTAAATAAAATAAATCTTAAAAAAATAAGTTATTTCTTAAAAAAAAACAGTCTTAAGACTGTGGTCCTGAGGAACAGAAACAGATCAGGACCACAGTAAGAAGAAAGGACAAAGGAGAGTCCCAGACTTCACATGTGCACTCTGACCTCTGAGCCACAGTGCACGGGAAGAACCCAGAGATCTCAGCTAGGAACTGGTGTTGTGGTATGGCAGGCTAGACCACTGCCTGCAGCGCATAGGGGTGCTGGTTCAAGCCCCACTTGCTCTACTTCCAATCCAAGTCCTTACTAATGCGCCTGAGAAAGCAGCAGGGGATAGCCCAAATCCTTGGGCCACTGCACCCATGTGGGAGACCGGGAAGGAGCAGCTCCTGGCTCCGGCCCAGCCCTGGCTGTTGTGGCCATTTGGGAAGTAAACTAGAGGATGGAAGACTGATCTCTCAATCTCTCCCCGAGCCCATGCCCCGCAACTCTGCCTTTCAAATAAATAAATCTTAAAAAAAAAAAAAAGACTTCAACTAAGGACAAAAGAGCTGCCCTGAATTTTGAACTAACTACCACTGTAGGTATATTTGAGTTTTTAGTTTGGGGTCTGATTGCCTACTAAAATAAAAATATCTACAATACAACAGTCACAGTGTCTCGACATAATCTCAAAATTAAACCTACTTGCAAGGGAAAAGACAATCAGCAGAAGGCAACTCCAAAATGCCGAGACGAAGATATTAATGCCCT